GTTGTTTCTCCCTCTTGGAATTAACTGTAAAATAAAAGTTTTCATTTTGTTTAATAATACAAACAACTCCACATGAAAGTGGCTGTTCTTAAGCTTACATATTACTCTCATATAAGTAGGAGGAATTTTCCCCATGATTTTCCTTCTAATATGAGAACTCACCTGCAGGGTTGCCATTTCCTCCTTCCTTGGATCAACACTTGCTTTGGTTACTCATTGTGGCTGCAGATCTTCCAGATGTACATTCTTCTATTTAAATACCAGTGTTATATGGTAATTAGACATTCTAGTAATAAATAATTCTGTTCTGAATACTAGAAATTTTAGGCTTATAAAATCTTTTATTCTTTTAAATACCAGATATTTAAAAGTGTAAAAATTGGTGTAATAGATGCAATCTGCTCTTATTTAACTGGTGAGGGTGAGGCCATCTCAAGTTTTAGTTTAAAATGATACATTGATTCTATATAAATGGATCCTTAGCTGTTAGGAAAATTGTAGATAAGATATGGTTTAAAGCTTCTAAAGAACCTTAAACTATAACAAAAGCAAAAGGTCTTCTTTGTATATTTTAATGGTATTTCTCCAATTGTTTCTAATTCTCCAGCCTCACCATGTGATCCCACATTCATCTTGAGCTGTGCTCCCTGCAATGTGATCTGCTCCATTATTTTCCAGAATCGTTTTGATTATAAAGATCAGGATTTTCTTAACTTTATGGAAAAAGTAAATGAGAACGTCAGGATTCTGAGCTCTCCCTGGTTGCAGGTGAAGTAAAGATATTTTCTTCTGGGAACAGCCTTATAGTCTTTCATTCTCACAGGTCAAATTCAATATGGACCAGACACCATGGTTCTGAAAAGCATATTATGGAAAGAATATATTGAAGGTGGATCTAAGCCCTTTGATATACAAATAGCAAAGCTGAAGGGCAAATTTCAGGTTGGCTCAAGACTAATAGTTCCCTATCAATTTCAATTTGATGTTCACAGAACTGTTTGTATAAAAGATTGCATTCAAATCTAGAAGTGTTGCCAGTTGTTCACAGAAAATTATTCTATGAATAGTTCTTATCTTCTTTTCTATCATTAAACATATATATCCTCATCATATTAGTAGGCAGGAATATTTTAGTATAGAAAGAATATTCTCTTAAAGGATAAATAATATTAATGACAATGAACTCTGCCAGGAAACACTGGGTAGTTTTAGTGGTTTGATGGGTCAGTTGGAATCCTAGTTGACAAACAGACAGGTAGAAAGCACAGGGTGAGTGATTTAATGCTGTGTGGCCCACATCCATCTTCTCAGAGTTGTCCTAGGCACAAGTGTCACCTCCTGAACTCTCCATAAAGAATGGCTGTGATCTGGGCACTAAGGGAAAAAGGCACCAGGCAGTCAGACACTACGATGTTAAGCAAATGTCAGGTGGGCTATAGGAAAGACAGAGATTTAGAATGGTTCATGTCCTGTGGAGAGAGAGAGACAGGTGAAGAGGTGAAGCAGTGCAGAGAGGCTGAAGAGGGTGGCTTGATTTCTTCCAGGGTCCATGTCTGGGTTCATGGTCTTGTTGTGCAGCCATGGTCAGTGTTGATGTCCATAGCTCCTGATAGCACTGAAGGCCATGAGGAAAGGGCTGCACAGGGTTGGTCCTGACACACATTGGTTGCAACACTACAGAGAGTGGGCCATGTTTACCTCTTCTGGGAAGCAAAGTGGAAATGATCCTGTTGATAGGGGTGTGGGACCAGCCCAAAGAATGTGTGCTTGGGGGATCTGACTCCATACCTCTCTTGCCATATGGTGGCTTGGGTGGGGGAGAACTTCCCTCCCGCTCGACTGCTTGTGACAGGTGGGACAGCTAGCCCTGAGGCCATAATAGCAGGAGAGCTGCCATTCCCACCACCACTGCAGAATGCAGGGAGCAGACCCTGTACCTTGCCTGGGCAGCACAGCAGAGATGATAGTATCCACAGGGGTGCAGGTGAGTCAACCCTGAAGTTGTGAGTGTGGGAGAGTTGGCCCCACTACTTGTCTGTCATGTGATGGTGTGGTTGGCAGAGATGTCACCTTTACCCTCTTCCCCTCACCACCTGAGGCAGATGAGGGAGCTGACCCTTCCCCTTCACAAATGCAATCCCTGCTCCTAGCCTGGGCAGCAAAGTAGAGCTGACCCTGTTGGCAAAGGCGCAGGTGAACTGGCTCCAATGGTGTGAGAATAGGAATGATATCCCACCTCTTTTCTGCCATGTGGTGGTAAGGGTGAGGGAAAGATGCCCTTCTCACATTGCTGCTGTCACCTGTGGTGGGTGAGGTAGGTGACCTTCCTCCTTACCAGCTTCAGCACCTGGGAAATTGGGCCCTGCACCTCTCCTGGGCAGTACAGTAGAGTTGACCCTATTGACTCCATTGATTGCAGTTGGAGGCTGTTTGAGTCACCCTAGAGAATGTGAACATGGGAGATCTGGTCCCTCCTCTCATCTATCTTCTGGTGTTTGGTAGGAGGGCTGGAAGAGTTTTCCCTGCCCTTTTCCAGATGAATCATTTGGAAGAGTGGCCCCTGCACCTTGCCTTTGTAACACAGTCGATCTGCTCCTGATGGTGTATGTGTGGAAGAGCCAACTCTGGGGGCATAAAAGAAGCTCATTGCTCTAAGTGGTGAACTAGCTAGGGCAACACCAGAGAGCTCACCCTGGTCTTGAGGTCAAGGATAGAATTAGAGGGCTGTCCAACACAGCAACTACACAGACCCAGAACTAGGGTTATGAGTAGATGCACCTCAACATCCACCCCATTGTGATCTGCTGGAGCACATGGAGGTGCTGGTCCTGCAGGCCCAGGGCTGCAAGAGCTCACAGTGCAGGGTAACAACAGGATATCCAAGAGAACTCCCAGTAAGGGCCTGGTATTGAGAGTGCAATAGAAACCAGAGGCCTTGAGGCAGACCAATGAGTCCTTGCAGTGAACACTTGCAAGTAAAGATGTATGGATAAAGGAGTTTGCTGTGTGACTCTCTGTGTCACACTGCAGCTTCCATGATGAGACTTTTTTCCACTTAAATTTATTTTACTTTATTTTATTTTATTACCGTGCATTGTAAGGGCTGAGGGTCGATGTGAAGGGATGCGGAAGTAGATGGGATCAAGATGCACAGTGTGAGAAGCACAAAGAATAAATTAAAAGCAAATTTAAAAAGAATGGCTGTGATCATAGAGAAACCCCCAATGGCTGTGCTGTACTTCACTTTCAAAACTCTTGGAGTCTCACCCACTTCATCCCATGGTATAGGGCAGTTTACAGGAGTTCAAAATGCATGTGTTACTTTTTTATTTTTTTACTATAAATCATGTTGCCTGACTCTCTTCACTACTGTTGTCATCTAAAACCTGTAAATGACAACGATTTACATCATAATTCAGTCTTGGAATAAATGGAATAAGCCATCTATCAATCTTCATAAATATGCTTTCTACTGAAAAGTATTCATGAATGTGGAAATTTGGTCATAATCTTTTATCATTTGGGCAGGAATCTCACTCTCTTCTATCTCTCTACTATCACAGAGAATTGCTACACACATGAAACAAAACACCTCTTCCTTTTGTGGGACACTATTTTCATTCACATGTGAAGTTATAAACCCATGTTGGTCTTGCTATGTATTATGTATATGTGTATTTCCTCATATCTGTTCCTTTAAAAATATTTTTTTGGCAAGAGCTGGAGAGATGGATCAGTGGTTAAGAATGTGTGCCGATCTTCCAAATGACCTGGGTCCAAATTTTAGCATCCATGTTAGGTGGCTCAAAACCACCAGCTTCCGAGGATCTGATATCTTTGGCTTCCAAGGTACCCACACATATATGGCACATTCATGTATGCATGCATACACATACCACACACACCACTAAATGTAAAACAGTTTATCTTATTGAAAATGTCTTTGATTTTGTAGGTCTGCAATAATTTTCCTTCACTAATTGACTACTGTCCAGGAAGTCATCACACAATAACAAAAAATGTCAATTACATCAGAAATTACCTTACAGAGAAAATAAAAGAACATCAGGAATCACTGGATGTTGCAAACCCTCGGGACTTTATTGATTATTACCTGATTAAACTAAAGCAGGTAAATTGTTATTATAAATTTAGTTTATTGTTTAGCATTTTGTGGTTTGTTGAACACTAAAATGTTTATCAGAGATGGTTTAAATCAGTTATAAATTGAAAAATAAAGACCCAGATACTGATATAGGGGTTCAAACTTCAAGCTAAATATCAGAAAGGCAAAGCAGCTGGCCACTAGCTTCTTACTCTACCTCAGGCTGAATGGGCTGATCCTGTCTCCATTAGCTGAAGCAGGTTTATTAATCAACAATAAGAGAAACAGATATTCACAGCACACAGAAGGACATCTCCATCATCTACTCTCTTCTGTCTACATAAAAATTAAGGTTTTAACTGATATGAAAATTATATATAACAAAACAGTTATCAAGAAAGAATTATAGTTACAAAATTTACTCCACTAATATTTGGCAAAATTTAAGGAAAATATTCTATCATCCTATTTTTTGAGTCTAAACTTTTATGTATAACATCATTTATTATAACTAGGAAAAAACCATAACCATAACTATCTGTCTTCAACTCCATCAACGACCCCAGAAGGATAATATATAAACTCTAGAATGAAGCATTTTGGAGAGAACTATACCCACATTCCTAAATACTGTTCATAAATGTTTGCTTTCATTTAAATAGGGTTAGTTATAAGTGGTTAATGATCACAGTCAGTCTCTTTCTAAAGAAATGAAGTATGTTGTAGAAATGAATACTTTGCATTGTATGGATTTTGGTTTATTGATACAAATTAAAGGTCATTTTTGTTATATGTATATTTCTACTCTTGTTTCAGTATTGTGTTTCTACAGTTTATTTAAAATGCAATGTAGACTTAAATACAGATTATAGATAGTCACTCAAATAGTTATGTTACTTAAGTTTTCTAGATATACAGACATATATTTCAAATGGATAGGTTTTCTTCAAAACCTTTCAAAGACTTACAGAATATGGCATTTAAAATGGTTTATTAAGGTTTTTCATGACAATAAGAAACAACTGATCCTGGCAACACCAATTACGTCAGAGAGGAAGATGGGCATTGAAGAAACTCATTATGGAGTTTATCTTCAACATGGCAGGAATAGCCATTACTCGAAGGTGACCACGTTTAAATTCTGAGACGGGAAGTGGAGGGTGAATAGGTCACAGTGGCCTTAAGTTTAGGTTTTCCTTTCTGCGATCTAGTCATCCTTATCAGTCTTCTGCTTTTTGTTGTCAACATCATCACCCTCATCACCTTCAGCTACCCGCTTGCCTGTAGGAGCCCCAGCTTCCTCATCTTCATCTCCATCCTCTTCCTCACTGTGCCTTCCTCCTCCTCCTCCTTCTCTTCCTCCCCACTGTCTTCCTCTTCTTCGCCTACCTCATTGTCAGCCTCCTGCTCCCCATTTTCCTCATTAGCATTCCCATTGGCCAGTGCATCTCTTCCATTCTCTGCCTCCTCCACAATTTCCTTCTTCTCCTTCAAGTCCTGGGTTTTTACTGAGTGAAGCGTACAGTTTTTGTACAGGCTGACACAGTCAGTGCAAATTCTTATGTTCATCTGTGCTTTTGTGTCCAGAAAACAGTGCTTCCTTGATGTTATTGATCACTGATGGCTCTTAAAATTTCTGACCCCTCTTCTCCAAAGATACTTTATTCTTTTG